GCGCCCCACATTGACATTCGCAACAACAAAGAAGTTACGAGTGCGTTGCTGACCTTTTCGGGATTACGGATTTAGAGATTTAGGAATTGGGGGAAGGGAAGGATTGGGGCTCCGGTAACCTCACTCACACGGCGAAACACAACACTGTGGTTGTTTCACGCCGGTTTTCTGTTAGGCCGTGGTATCACTCCTGTCAAGCCGACCCATTCCTGCCGAAGCATGGCTCTCCCACAATTAAAGATTCAGTTCATTCAGAATATTTGTCCGAATACATGCATATTATATATTTATAGCCAGTTTAATAAACTCCGAAAAGCATATATCACGGAATGACGAAAATCAAATACTTACTTAAGACTTATGAGGTTTTTGACCCAGGTAAGTTTGACGTTTGACGAAAACAGAATCGTTATAGATAACATGGCCATAAAAAACTTCTTTACTTATCTATGCTCTCTGTGATAACCTTGTGTAACGAAATATTTTTGAAGAGAATGATAAACAACGGGAATGTTACTTAAATTTTTAGAGCTACATACATACATCCATTGCTTTTTTTTTGTGAGGGGTAAATCGTCAAATGACTTCTCCCGCCCAGGGTCGGGCGGGAGGGAGTGTCAGGCTCTTACTGACTAAAAACCCCCCTGTTCCTACTCCTGCTCTACTTGCTCTAGGCCGAGGTCGAGGTGCCTCATTGCGCTTACCCCGCAACCCCGGCTGAAATACATCCATTGCTTAACATTGAAATGTAAGTACGAATTACCTACCTAAGTACCTAATTCGGTATGGTTACACGCTTGATTAAATTAATTTGTAATTTACAAGCAAGGTTGGATTTCAAACAGGTAGATAATGCGAGGATGTGCCTGTACTGCACTACCTACCTCAATATTATGATTTTACAAAAAACTTTATTCCACCTACCTGGATTAAGTGTGAAGCGGTGGCGGGCGTGGTAAAATGCGATAAAAATATTTATTTATAGTATTTAAGGAAGTTCACAATCGCTTCATATCAATGGCCCACCTCGATTTATTATCTTCAAGGAAAACGTTTGAACTATTATTACTTTAGTAAGCCCTGTAAAGTTCATAGGATATCTGTGCTATCTCTTCGTAACTACAAAATTAGGTAACTTCTGTTGTATTAAAATAACAAAAATGTAAAATTGTCTATTGCGATTATCAGGGTTAAGTGGTGAACGGATTACTTGATCGATCACATATAATTTATTTGGTATAAGTATAGTTTTTGGGTAACCTTTATTTTTCAAAGGCAAGTTTTAAATGTGCGAAAGCCAAATTTTGGTACGAAATGCATAGCTCGACTGGAGTAATACAACCTTACGGAAAATTCTCGTGGAACAAAACTTGCCTTGTGCTTCGCGTTGTGAGTGAAGTTACCGGAGGCGCAGTCCAAAATATGCAATGTTTTAATCAACAAGATTATTTTTCTGTTAGTTAATTTTACGTGTCTGCCTACTTAGATCATACACAGTGTATCTGATACGACCCACACTTAAACCAATGACTGAGGCTAGGCCCAGTAGTCATTAAGCTCATGGAGATTTAGTCAATTAAGCCACATTGAAGTATAAATGACATGTTGGATCGTTGTATGAAACGAAATAGGTTTTTCAATTCAATGAACATGTAATTGTTGAATTACAACTCGATAAAAACAATCACCGGCAAGCAATTTGCATAGCCGGTATAATCAGTGTTATTTTTGGACATCGATATTTTTTTATTAAAGCGTTAATTTTTTCTCATTATTGACGTTATACGAGGGATTTGTGCGTAAGAGGTTGCTAGTGGGATTTAAATTCCAGAGTTTTTAAGGGTTTCATAGTTTCAGGCTCAAAATCTTGAAAATTACTCAAGTTATTTTAATATAACTGGAAACTCATATCCATATTAAGTAAGTACATTTTTGTAAGCAGTTAATCGTATTAGGAAATTTGAAGTTTTATGAAATTTAAAGAAATTTGTCTTTCTAAACTCATTTTTCAGAAAATTTATTTAAGTTGTTAGACCTTGGTATAATGTGTATAAGTTACCAAGTTTCATTAAAATTAATGAAATAGTTTCCAATGTTATGAAAGCCTGGGCCCCGTAACAAACTTTGGTACATCATCATCAGCCTGTTGTCGGCCACTGCTGGACATAGGCCTCCCCAATTGCACGCCACTGAGCTCGATGTTCAGCTCTTCTCATCCAACCACTGCCAGCCACCCTGCGGATGTCGTCAGTCCACCTAGCTGGAGGGCGCCCTACACTACGTTTGCCTAGACGTGGTCTCCACTCTAGAACACGTTTACTCCATCGGTCATCGGTTCTTCGACAGGTACAACACAACTTTGGTACGGGGCCCAGTTATTTTTTTTTTATGTGGTAGTAGTTACGGCAAACGACTTGATATTACATATTTATGTTTAAAGTAACCCACCGTAGCAATGGAGGATTTACGAGTGCGTTGACGACTTTTTTGGGATTAGGGTTTTGGGGATTAAGGGTTTGAGGGAGGGGAAAGATTGGGTCTCCGGTAACCTCACTCACACAGCGAAACACAACGCTGTGGTTGTTTTTACGCTGGTTTTGTGTGAGGCATTCAGGCTTAGTGATAAACCATGTGATGTGCCCTTGGGCTACTAAGATGATAAAGATAGAAGATACAGGGAGCTACTGTTTATTTGTTTGGTTAACCGTGTTATCTTATCTCTAGTAAGCTGCTGTAACCAATAGATGCGTTGACGGCTCTGAACTATCCTTCAACTTATATTAAGTTCATTCCACATCAGGTTCGCGCCTATTATTCTCATAAACAACAACTTATTTGTAATTCTAATGTTATTTAGTGTATGCTCCATTAAATCGTTTAAAATCTGTAGGTGTTTCGTGTGGGGTGGCGGTTGCGTAATTGGTATGACAGCTATGAATTGCTTAGTGATGTTACAAAGAGAAAGTGTTGGAAAATAGAATTAAAAGCTAATGTAGAGTACTTATATTTATTAAAATACTAACACTTTAGTAGCTCACACTATATTTTTAGGACCCAATATATTGACTATTACATGTAGTTGACTTGACTTACCTAACTCATATTTGGGTTTGAAATTTGGATACAAATTATTAGGTAACTAGTAATAAAACTTTCCTTAGGAGGTATTAAATACCTACTAGATATGCGAAAGCATTTCTTCTGGACATCATCACATTCTATAGTACTGAACTACTTATACTTACGCTTTGGCAATTAAACACACATCATCCAAAGTCCCCGTTGAACTGAAGCAACCATGCGAAAAACTGGCCATCGTTACAAAGTAAGCATTTTCTTGTACCTATGTAGGCCACGTTAGCAGACCCTGGTTCTTACGATACAACGTATAATTAACATTAAGTAGCGCTCACAATGAAAAACATCCCTCCACGACGCCGACGTTCAATTACACACAATTTCATATTATCAAGGCTCGTGATTTTTTCTCGTGTCGATCAGGTCTATTTATATTTAAGTACGAAATTAATTATATCTTTCCTCACCTCCTTTTAAGCTCGCATAATGTGTAGTTAATTTATGTCGGTAATAAATCTAGTTATAGGTAGGTCTTTTGATTATTTTAATGGAATAAAATTCTATATTATGGTCCCATGTTGTCCCGTGAATGTAACTTGGTCGGTACTTACGTAATAACTTACTTATCATTCATTCATTTATTTACCTTTACCCTCCTAGAACACCTTTTTTTTATATTCATTTCTGAACACCGACCAAACTTATGCACTTTACCATAATGTAGTAGATTAGTACAAAATGCCCATTGTTAAGTGACGTGTTGCTAGGAGCAGACTAATTACATGCTAGAATTAATATGTAAGAAGAATAAGAGTGATTTTTTACAAGAGTGTAAACTGGATATTTTTATTTATTTTATATTTGCATTTGCGATAGTGGACTAGTTATGGACGCGCAAAGCATCGATGCATTCGCCACAAGCATAAAAACGGTAATAAATATTACTTTGTAGTGAAAGGAGTTTAATATTAAAGATGTTGTTTTTATTAAGCTTCATTTGACATTCGATTTTATGTGGATATTATAATATCTTAAAAAAGTTAGGGTTTACAGTATATTTTATTAAATCAACTTGTTTTGCTAATCACTGACGACACAGATCATAATTTGTATCTTAATTCTACATATAGCGTGGCCTAACGTGGCGACCCATATATGGGGACCTAGAACAACACCAATAGCCATAGTTAGCGGAATACTGTTCTCTGTAGGTTCACCTAACACCATTGACAACTCGCAACAGGTTTGCGAAAGTAGCAATCCCGTTAAATTCCAGTCAGCCAGTAAAGATCTTTTGTGAAATGCGGGATCCGTTAAAATTGCAATAAAAACTCGAGCCACCAGCACCGCTCGATACTGGGAGATAATTTCTCACATATTAAGCTGTCACTGAGTGCAGTTAGGAGTGAGATGGTCGGCCGTTGACGCCTTATGTGCGATGCCTGCGGCCGTGTAGTGTTACGTAACGAGAGACAGTTACGCAAAGCCAATGTCAAGAGCGCGTCAACACAATGCTGTAGCAACAGCCGGCGAGAGCTAGAGACCACAGCCGAGCCACGCGCCACACAGCCCGGCCGCACGCGGGGTCGCCGACCACGATACCAAACAAAATCTTAAAGCCGAAACTTGAACTCGTATGTACAAAGATTTCTGAGGCTGATATCGGCAATAAGAGTTAAAAGAAGCGATGGATGTAGGTACACAGATATTCAAGTGCGGGCAATGACCTTAGCGGATTATTGGCGGTGTTAATAATAGCAAAGAATACTCTGCGTCCTTTTTCAAGATTTACAAAACTTTTAACGAGTTACAATAACAGCTGATAACATTTCCATGGATATTTTCCGATACCCTACTAACCCCAGAGAAAATCCTAGATTCTAATGATTTGTTTACATTAGACAATGTTTATGTTGTTGCAGGTCGCGCCGCCTCCCCTAGTGGACTGGACATGTATCCCTACGTTGGTACTGGTGGTGTTGTTGGTGCTCGTCGTGGCCTCGGCGCTAGCGGCTCGTGCGATGGCAGATGTCAGGCCTGTCGAACGCTTGCCCGGCCCCCTACCGTTACCATTTGTGGGCACACGGTGGCTTTTCTGGAGTAGATACAAGATGAACAAGCTACATGAAGCTTATGAAGGTGAGAGATATTAGAGTTTTGAATTTTGTGTTTCATACACTCAAGAGACTTCTTCATATTTTGTCGTTCTGTCCTCAAAATACCATTAAAAAGACTGAGCGAAACCGCAATTGCTTCGGTAAGTGAACCACCGAAATTCAGAAGATAATTTCAGTGTTTCTTTTTAGAGTAGACCCACTAAAATAATGCCGAACTCATCAACTTTTATTTACTAATTGACGTGTAAAAGTTTTACCATGGTTTCCGAAAGGCCGACCAATGTTAAAATCGATTTAATCTCTTGTCAAGTCATCTGATTGGTTGACTGAATTATCAACAACCAATCAAATGACTTGACAAGAGATTAGTTAATTTTAGCGTTGACAAGCCTTTCAGAAACCAGGTGTTAATCTATTTCCTTAATAAACCTGCATCTTTTAGAAAGGCCACGCGTAACTACTTTATTGTATTTAATTGATGGTTTATTTTTAACAGTCTGAATTGCAGCATAGACTGTAAGTCGGGTGGAAACTTCGCTCGCCGCCATTTATGACGAATGCGTTCACGTCTCAGATAGAAATGGAAACAACGTTGAGTAATCTAGAATCTAGACTATCGGACATAATTAGGTTTCTAGATTAATTATTAATTCAGCAGCCAGCTATAAATAACTTGTTCTAGTTTATCCAGACTTATTTGTAGTTCACTGTTCACTATATTGATAACAAAATAACGTAATTAGGATGAAGTGATTGATTTATTTGAATGTATTTTAAGTTTACTATAGGTACCTATTACAACATATTAAAAACAAAATCATTTGTACGATTAATTAATTAATTTCATTTTAAACTTGCATTTTTTTTTAAGTTTAATAGTAATACTTACGTAAGTATATTTGGTTCAAAAAACACGACGACAGAATTTAGTAACCTCACACAAATTCACAGAAATGCAACGAAATGTATGTTTTGCTATAAAAACTATTGAATTTTGACTTGTTATCATCATCCCTATAAAATTAATTAGAACTATTGTTTAATGATGGCAGTACATGTACATATACAAGATAACTTTGTTAGGTTCGATTTTTGAACCAAGAATTTTTTTGAATAAAGAACAATTGCAGTTTTTCGTCCGAAAAATGTTGGTTACATCTTAGCAATTTTTCGGTGTATTCAGGCTCGTCCCCATAAGGAAATAAATAAAGAAGAAGAATTAATATGTATTTAAAAGCTAGTTTACGATCACAATGAGAGATTTGCACACAGACATGTTCAGGCGTTACGGGCTGGTTTTCGCGGAGACCAACCCGGGGGGTGCCACTATGGTGTCAATCGCGGAAAGAGAGGCACTGGAGGCGGTGCTCCGAGCTCCATCGAGGCGTCCCTACAGGCCTCCTACGGAAATCGTTCAGGTGTACCGCAGGAGCAGACCTGATAGATACGCCTCCACTGGACTTGTCAATGAGTAAGTACTTATCATGCTTATAATTTTAGTACACGTAAAACATTTTTTATTATATTGTTTTCTATTTTCGATTGCTTAGTCATTGATAATAATGAGGGTGGTCTTAATTGCATGATCATTATTCACCCTGAAAAACAGGCTTAGAGCTAAGGCACAAGTCAGTCTACCATAATATTCAAGTTATAACTCTGTTGTAATGTATATCACAATATTGTGGTAGGAAATTATTAATATTGTTTATTATAAACCTAGAAATTACATTAATATGTACTGATTTTGTATTAGGCAAAAGTCTTTTTGGCTTTGTGTCAATCTAAAAACAACTCAGCATCTAAAGGTCCCGATAGAGCGAGAATATCATTACGCAGGTCGTTTTACTAAAATTATGATGACTTAGTTTCCTAAACCATCCTCCTTACCTGACTAAGCATTAGAACAGTACTACACTAGCGGGGAACACTTTCATCACCAGACAGTACATTAAGATATTCCAGAAGGTTACAAACTAAAGGCCGATTTATTGATAACGCCAATCATCTCGTTTTCAAGTCGAGTCTAATTGACATAGATTGGTTATAATGCTGGTTATACTAAGTTCTCTTATAAGTAAGCATTCACACTCTGCGGGTGGTGTGACCTCGAACTATGGTATAGTTAGTTCTATTGTGTTCAATACTGAGATTTTGGCACGACTTCATACTTCAAGTCACGTAGACGTAGGCATTATATGTTATAGTAGTACTATAACATATCAATACTAATATCTACGATTCGATTGATACAATACGCGCTGTGTTCAGAATAGAAATAATTAACAAATAAAGTTAGGCAAGATATGAGCAGTGCGCTTTAAAGCGATTTATTTGCGTTGCGTGCTATATTTTTGCGCGCGCCTACAGCTTTCAATGACTTCTACTGCTGTGGGTGAAGCAAGAGGGAGTGACAAACTCTTACTGACTAAACACCACTCCAGTCCTTCTCTGGCTCCGGGCTGGAGTCCTGTACGTATTGTGCTTGCATCCGCAACCCTAGGACATCGCAAATCCCAAGACCCTAGGACCCTTAGAATACAGCAAATAAAAAAATATAGTCATTATTTCGATTGAATTCAAAATTCTCTTCTTCTCATTCTAAATATATAAATAAATTCTTGGCATTAAATCACAGTAAGCTAAATATTATGAAGTTTTCCTGAGGCACCCTCAACTTAGCTGGTACCTAAATGTTCTTAAAAACGTCGTAGGAATAGAACCATTACTAAGACAAGATTTTAATTTTGTATTACACTGACTGTGCCTATTATTGCCTAAACGAAATTCATATATTTATAAAAGACTCACGTTTTTCTACACGCAGAGCTTTCAAGGCCCAAGTACCACAGGTACCGGCTATCATAGATCTGACTAAGTTAAATGTAACTATAAAATGCTAATAATAGTCCTAAGTCATGGTCAAGGCTAAAACTTTATGGGTTCCGTGAGTTTCGTAAGAGGCGTATAAGGTCAATATGGGCGGGCATACAAGGCTTAGTAGGGCTATTGAAGCTAAATGGCTATTTATGTAACATGAATGACAAGTTTCGAAGAGAAGTCTTTGAAATATTAAAGTAACGTTAACAAAAGGCTGTGTCAAAGAGATTCTAATGAAAGGGATCACATTAAATTGATCAAAGGAAAGTTAAGCAAAATGTTCTTAATATTTTCAGACAAGGCGAAAAATGGTATCATCTGCGGCGTCACTTAACAGCGGAATTGACAAGTCCTAGCACAATGCAGGGCTTTCTTCCTGAACTCAACACAATTTGTGACGACTTCCTCGAGTTAGTTAATACTTCGCGTCGAGCTGACGGAACCGTGCCTGGCTTCGATCAGCTCACTAACAGGATGGGATTGGAATGTAAGTACACATTATGATGATTTCAATTTAAAACAAAAATATTTTACACCTTTCTTAGTTTATATTTGCCAAATATTCGATCAAGAGAAATTATTCAATAAAGGAAACATTGCCCACTATGAAAAGGCAAACGTAAGTCACATATTGTTAATGTCAGACAGTCGTTAAAAAGTATAATCTTTATCAAAGGGGTTTCTTGAACCCTTATTTTATAACGACGCCCACATATTCTTCTATCTAAAGTTGTAACGCGAAGTTGTGAAAGAGTTTAATCACGATAAATTAGTGTTAACATTACTGCATCATTTGAACGTCACTGGATCGTTTGAGCGTCTAATTGTGGTAATGCACGCATGCATCAAATGTGTATCAGGAATTTTAGATAAAAACTGCGTTAGATCAACAAACAACTTGAGAAGGACAGAGACAATATTAAAAGGTTACTATCGAAAAATCTACTACTTCTCCACATATTTTTCAAATATCGCAAAAAAATATAAAAGCAAAAGTTGAAATCTCCAAAATAAAAATCCATCCTTCGTAAAATGGTTTGAGGAAAACTTTAAACGTTGTCCTTAAAACAAACGTCCAATACATTACATTCAGCCTTGTACGTTGCAATGTGTTTATCAAACACATCTAATAAATTCATTTGCTGTCGCGTGGGGTTCAAATGTCTAAGTCAGTAGGTCTTAAATAGATTCAAAGAGCTGTGATAATAGTGACGAGAAAATGACGTTCGTCAAGATAAGAATGTGGGTCAGATGTGGATGAAATAGCGTTAGACGGCCAACGTACTCGCGTGCGTGCGTCTCTAGGAATGCAACAATCAACATAAGAAATGCATTATGAAATTGTGCACTACGCCAGATTACATAGAATTATTCTCTACGTTCAATGTTATCAGCCAATGGCAGGAAGCTGTATCGTATCTCAAACCAAATGTTCTTTGCACTCGCTGCCTTCTTGCTTAGCATTTTGATGGCTTAGGCCTTGGTGCCATTTTTTCCTTGGCAGTATCGATAAGACTGCCCTTGTCTTCCACTTGGAGACAAAATAGTCAGCGATTAGTTTAACTCGTATTATATTCTACGTTATACCTATGCTGTTTGTTTAGACTACAACTTTCTATTATTTATCAAGTACTTAGCATTCGGCGTTCGGTTTCATCGGTAAGGTGGTCTCTGGAATCTGCTGTAGTTGACCATAATATGTATGAATAAAAAATATAGCATTCTTTAATTTGTGCTACAGCGGTATGCGCCTTGATGCTGGGTTCAAGACTTGGCTTCCTAGAACGTTGGATGTCGGGCCGGGCAGCAACCCTAGCGTCTGCCGTGAAGGCTCACTTCAGAGCACAGAGAGACTCCTTCTATGGTGCACCATTATGGAAGTTTGCACCCACTACGCTGTACAGAACGTTCGCCAAGAGCGAGGATACCATTCATACGTGAGTTAGTTTCCCTATCTTCATAATGAAGCTTAAATATAGTTGTTACGACTCTCGTTATTGACTTGATGATTGATGAGCTATTACTCACAATGCGTGGCCACTGTTTTTTATAAGATACAGTAAGTCTGTGACATTGGACGATGTGTATTTACAGCCAGTATCTACCTATAAGCACTTATTGTTTATTGATCGTTCAAGTTCACATTGGTAGGTATCTATTATTGCGTTTCATAACTATCACAGTTGAGCGTATGCAGTTTTAAAAATTAATAAAACTTAATAATTCTATTGAATATAATGACGACGCATCATTATTAGCTGAACAGACACACAGGTAGTGTGGAAATATGCTTGGACCGATAAGGTGATCCATTTTATAATTAGGTTCTTCCTTACTTACCGAGATTTTGGCCTTGACTGGTTTTGTGTGGTACAGTATACTTACATTAGATGAAGGTTAACCTCTTTTTTATTGCTCGTAGTGCAAAAACTGTTTGCGACTCTCAGCAAACGGTTTTTGCACTTCGTGCATACAATGAATCAAGAATAAGAGTGCAGTTCCTACCCAAAAAAACACAACCTTGACTTTTAATAATAGCTTAGATCTAGCTCTAAAGTGTCTATCATTTATTAAATTTATGGTTTGTTTATTACATTAATTTTTTTATACTGTTATGGCAATTAGAGCCGTGTAATATCATATGCCTACAGTTCAGTTAGCAATAAAATCAAATTATTGGCAGGATAGTATCAGATTTGATGGAGGAGGCAAAGTTAAAGACGCAAAAAAATGCTAGCGACGAAGCAATGCGGGAGATCTTTATGAGGATTCTGGAAAACCCCGCCCTTGACATGAGGGATAAGAAAGCTGCAGTCATTGATTTCATCACAGCTGGCATTGAGACGGTAAGCCTTTTCAAAACATTAGTATACTTAAAATGCCCTAATGTGAATGATTATAAATATTATATTCGACGAATTTCTGTCTGCATAAGCATAGCGGAAATAATGCTTTGGTTTTCAAACTTAAGCACTTATGAATGAAATCATAAAACAACAAAATAAACTGTTATACTCGTACTACAAATATTTTCAGTTTAAATCAGGAAAATTTTTGCTGTTCCATTCATAAAACTTCATCGTATTAAATTATTGCCGTTTTCTTACTAATCCTTTGTATTTGTTTTGGCAGCTAGCGAACAGTCTGGTGTTCCTTTTATATCTGCTGAGCGAACGACCGGATTGGCAGCGCACCATTCGCTCCGAACTACCTTCATGCAGTACTTTGACTGTTGAGGATCTTGCAGCTGCTCCGTCAGTGCGCGCTGCGATCTCCGAAGCTTTCAGACTGTTGCCCACCGCACCTTTCTTGGCCAGGCTACTAGAAACGCCTATGGTAATTGCGGGACATAAGCTGCCTGCTGGGGTGAGTTTCTTCATATATTTTTTTTAGATCTCGTAATGGCACATAGCAATACAGTGTCGTTGTCTCATAGGCTTAGGCATTTACTCATTTAGGCAACAACAGCAAAGCGACATCTGCTGAGATCTTTGTTTGGCTAAGATTTAGATGCTCTTTAGCTTCTATCACCGTTAGCCCATCTCCATAGCTGGGCATTTTAATCAATTTTAGCTTTATTGGTTTAGTAGGTAGTAAAATGTGTGCACAATTGGATCATAAGTTTATCCTAGAGGTTTATTATGTGTATAGAACTTGATAGAAGTTACACCACATGAAATAATTATTTAGCTATTTTTTATGTCATAAGTCGGCAAATGAGCAGACGGTTTTCTTGATGGTAAGCAATCAGCGCCCCTCATTGACACTCCTAGTACCCAAGTAGTTACTACAAGAGCGTTGCCGGCCTTTTGTGGGTTATTTGGAATTTAAGGATAAAGATTTGAGCATTGAGGGACGGGGGTATAATTGGACCTCTGGTAACCTCACTCACACGGGGAAACACTACGTAAGTGTTACTTCAAGACGGTTTTCTGTGAGGTCGTGGTATAACTCCGGTCGAGCCGGCCCATTCATGCCGAAGCATGGCTTTACCACATTTGATTCCCATCCCGCAATTGATTTTCTTCTATTTGATTGACAAAAAGTAAATTTTTATGTTGCAGACTTTTGTGTTAGCACACACGGGTGCTGCGTGTCGTCGCGACGAAAACTTCTGGCGTGCTCGCGAGTACATCCCAGAGCGTTGGTTGGAGCCCAGGGCACCTCACGCAGCCGCCCTGGTTGCCCCCTTCGGGCGGGGGCGACGAATGTGTCCCGGGAAGCGATTCGTGGACCTCGAATTACATCTACTCCTGGCTAAGGTAGGGCATAGCAATTGTATTGTCTTTAGCAATAACCTTAATAAATTTTTGCTTTTACTAGTTTAGAAAAACATCTGCTATTAGCTCATTTAATAATCTGTTTAATCGTAGCATGAGTTATCCTATCCAGCGGAGGTCATAAGCCACACAGTATCCAGTACTTAATATACTTTAATATTTTTTATTTTATTTTCAGATAATGCAAAGATGGCGCGTCGAGTTTGATGGTGAACTAGACATTCAGTTCGACTTCCTGCTATCGCCTAAGTCTCCAGTGTCGCTGCGATTAGTCGAGTGGTAGTCGCAGATTTAACTTAAGATTTGTATTTGTCTTTATGCTTCATAGATCATAGTTATTATTGGAAGGATTGTACAAGACAATGTTTAGCTTTTATTCGGAGAAATGACACTAAACTTGAAAGTAAGTTAACTATAGTATTGTTTGACTTAGGAATGGGTGTTCTAGGATCGTACCAGTGTGCCAACTAGGCAACTTTCTTCTGAATAAAGGCTAAAAACACTGGGTTTGTATAATAGAAGCTTTATTAAAACTAAAGATCGACGTTTTATATCCGCTGTTCATTGTAACGACTGTAAAGAATTTCGTGTTTTGTTGCTATTTACTTTAATTTAATACGAGTATTTGCTGTCTTCCATTTTGGCCTATTTAAGGACCATCATACTATAGCTCAATAGTGAAACCTGGATAAGTGGGGAAATGGTTCAGATGTATACTATTTTCTAACTTACTTTTATTCCTTCTTTTTTCTAACAGACTAATAGATGGTAATACTCTTAGCCAGTTTCCCAAATAGGCAGGTAAATACTTGAGTTGGCATATTTTATTAAGAGCCTCCAGAAAAAGGATGAGGCAGAAAAAATCACGTTAGCACCTAAAGCTTTTTGAAAAAAATCCTGTGCATTCGAGGAACTGAACTAAGAAGTTCTAATTGGAGAAATGGCATCGAAAACCCCAAAAAATATTATTTAGATATCAGATGCGCAGTTACCTATTTTATTGTGCCTAAAGACGTCGGAACCTCTTTGTAAATCAAAAAGTTTTCTAACACAAACCAGTGCCCACTTTTTCAGATTTCAATGTACCTATAAAGCTTCTACTAAAGTAAATACGGCGTTCTCAAATTATTTTCATGTCTTGTAACTATATGTAACTCGGTTGCCATGACAGCTTGAAGCGTGCGTTACAGGGTATCAGCAAGAACAGCTCAAATCGCACACTTCTTTCTAATTTTGAAAGAACTGTTCACAAATTATTATATAAGAATGTAATGTATGTAATATTTAATCATAATCTAGATTATAGCTACACAATATTATAAAAATATGGCTGTGTTAATATCAAAAACATATTTATATAAAATGTTATAACCGCAAATACCTCTTGTTATAAGACTGTATACTGCCAGCACATGCATTTGTCAGGAATTTTTAACTACATTTTTATCTTTAAGTGTAAACATAAGTCTAGCGTTACAAGCATTCCATTTTATAATAAGTTTTTGGTAAACCAGCTTCTATGTTTATGTTAAAATCAAGAATAAATTAGAAGTGGCCATTTCCTATGATTATTTTGTAATGTATTTTAATGTTGGCGATAGTTGTAGGTCCTACAGCTGAGACATGGATCGTTCGTATCCTTGTTAGCTTTTTATTAGAATGGATTATTGTATCATTATTTTATAGGAATCACATAAACAAGGACATTGTTATTAAATATATTAATATGAAATGAAGTGAATATAATATTTTAATTAATAGAACATAATATGTTAAAATGTACTGCGTAATGTAACTACGTCTGTGTTTTATTTCATTGGTATAAACCCTGTGAACGAAGTGGGAGTTAAGATGGAGTTATTCTTTTCAATACTTTATTGTCTGTCACCATTATCAGCGGCATCTTGAATAAGCAATAATAATCACGCTTGCTCAATACAGATTGGCGATTTCAAACTTAGAAAATAGATATGCAGGTTTCCTCACTAAGTTTTTATTTACTTCATGCTCCAATACGTACCTAATGGAATTACTAATCCTCCACAAAATATTTTGAGGAACTCCTTTTGTATTACAAACAATAGAAAAAAGTTCTTCGGTAAGTCGGTACTAAAATACATATTCGATAGGGATGACTAGGATGTTGTCAGAAATAAGTGTGGGAGAGCCATGCTTCGGCATGAATGGGTCGGCTCGACTGGAGTGATACCACGGCCTCACAGAATACCGGCGTCAAACAACGCTGTGTGTTTCGCCGTGTAAGTGAGGTTACCGGAGGCCCAATCCCTCCCCCTCCCCTATCACTTCCCGAGCCTTATATCCCCCAACCCCTATCCCTTCCCGATCCTTATATCCCCAACCCCTATCCCCCAAAAGGCCGGCAACGCACTCGTAACTTCCTTGGTGTTTTGGTAAGTTGATTCTGTTCATCGACTTTTGGAGCTGACTGTACCTAAGAATACCAATGGGAAACCGACTTACACTAGTTAATATTATGATGAGCCTCGTGTAGCCTCAGGTTGAGATTTAACTAAAAACTAAATTATGGTCAGATTAAGAAACGGTTTGGTTTAAAAACGTAGAAGTCTAAAGCGCTAAACTTGTAGTTATAAGGCCCTCATGGATTTTGAAGATTTAATGATAGTTAGAGAATATATCTAGTACCTACATAAAGATAGACTTTCCACAAAAAAAATATAAATAAGAGATAGGTACCTAACTTATGTACATATATTATTACGCCAGTCCCAAATATTTGATTGCGGTCATTTTTTAGCGATAGAACATCACCAACTGATTATATAACATAAAAGATAACACAGAGGTTTTGCAACAACTTGTGGTAAGATAGGTTATCAGTTTTATTTAAATAACATTCAGTACACTTAAACAAAACAATAACTAAACGCACACACTCCAATCAGCTGTATATCAAGCAACATCTGACACATAACCTCTAATTTATATTTATTTTGAAAATAGAACATGAAGTTCTGTGCTAACTTGTCGTTTATGTTTACGGAAGCATCGTCGATGCTCGAAAGATATGCATTGGCTAAGGATGCTGGTTTTAAAGCAGTTGAAACTGGTTTTCCCTGGGGTTTGACTGTGGAACAAGTGAAGGACGCGAAGGAAAAAGCCGGCGTAGAACAAGTTTTAATCAACTTGAAGACTGGTGAGTAAATAAGGCATAGTTTGATAAAACTGTTGAATTGTAGATAACATTATACTTAATACAAGGTATTATATTTACATTTAGTATGAATAGGTATGTAAATGGGTGGTTTTTACAGGAGATGTTTCGAAGGGAGAGTTGGGAGTTACGGCAGTGCCAGGAAAAGAGAATGAATTTAAAGAAAACTTTGCCGCCACAGTAAATTACGCCAAGGCCCTAAATGCCAGGAAAATACACATAATGGCGGGAAAACTGCAGAATGCTACGTCACAAAACTGGGAAACTTATGAGAACAATTTAAAGTATGCAGCCGGTGTGCTGAAGAATGAGAACCTCCTTGGTGTCATTGAGCCAATCAACCAATATTCCGTGCCGAATTACTTTTTAAGTGATTTTAATAAAGGTACCTATGTAAACTTTCCTTCATATGAAATACTTAATTCCCTCCCTAAAACATACTAGAGTATATAAAAAGACTTTAAGTTCTGTAAATTTTTGACCGCTAGGTGGGCAGAAAGGTCTGCACTACTTCTTCAACCTTCAATGGCTAGAAGTAAAAATGTTTCCTGATCAATATGTACTAAGTACCTAAGTATATCTAAGTTTACTTTTATTATTTGGTGTTTTAGCACTGGACATCATCAAGCGCATCAACAGTCCTAACCTGAAGCTCATGTTGGATGTGTTTCACTTGCAACAAATATGTGGAGACATATCACACAGCATTGCCAACTTCATGCCTTATGTTGGGCATGTGCAGGTACATAAAACCTAATTAATTAATATTATAAGAGCCGGCGTCAAATTAGTTTTTTCGCCAGGATGACCCCAATCCCTCCCCCTCCCCCATCCCTTCCCAATCCTTAAATACCCTAAACCTTTATCCCTAAAAGGCCGGCAAAAACTACCTTGATTTTGCCGATGTCCATGGGTGGCACTGATTGCTTACCATTAAGTAATCTGTCTGCTCGTTTCCCGAATTATACCATAAAAAAAAGATGAGAGAGGCCTCGAAGGTCATAAGAAAGTGTGTTGGTTAATGCTCATTCCTTCTCAGAAGTCAGACCAGAGTCATCAGGATGCTCACAGATATTTTTTATCCAATCACATGACTACTTTATTTACTTTGAGAATAACTAGACCCAAGAACACCACTTCAATGTTCTAACAGAATTGAATATTTTAAAAAGATATTCAAAGCAGTATATATCATAAGGAATTGAGTTTGTTAGATCAGTTAAAATTTTTTATATATTCTATTCAATAACTAACATATAACTTCAAACAATAAATGTGTATTGTATGTTAACACCAATCAAATGACGTGATTACAGATAGCACAAGTGCCAAACCGCAATGAACCAGACACTGCTGGCGAGATCAACTATAAGTATGTACTTGAGCAATTGGAAAGCAATGGCTACACTGATTGGATCGGACTGGAGTATAAACCACTAAAGAGTTCTAAGGATGGACTTGTTTGGATTAAGAACTATGGTTATAGTCTGTGATACAAAAACAGATGACAGATAAATTATTAAGAAAAAAATTTTGCCCCCGTAAGACTAATAAAACTAAACCATGAATGGTTGAAATCCCAAATGGGAAACATGTATAAAATGCTCATATTAAATCAGAATAATTGTAAATAAAAATGTTTGTTATAATATAAAAACGTTTATTGCTATGATTATGATTAAAATAATAAGGAATTATTAATTAATTAATACTAACTTAATAGTGTTTGTGAATATTATGCACCATTACTCTGGAACTGCTGTACCCAGTAGTGCTTCTTCACTGCATCTAGTGACAACCGTTCTTTGCTTGAATGTCGTAAAAGCTGAAAGTATGAAAACATATTCTTTACTTCCAAATCATCCCACAAAAATAATATTATTAATAAAATCTTCACATAAGAAATCACAATAATTAAAGTATAATTGGAAATAATTTAAATTCTGTTGCAAGGTTGAAATAAACTTTATTGGAGAATATATTACTAAAAGACATGTATGGTCTAGGGTCAAAAGTGCAGTTGCACTCTACCAATGTGTAAAACCAAAAAAAGTGTAAAACTTCTTTTTTACAAGTTCCAGAATATAAAAACCTGTTTTTGATTACTTTAGAATCAATGCTAGATATTAATCAGTTTAGGAACCTCTGACTTTCAAATTTGTTTTCTTTTGAATTCAAAATATAAAAGAAATGTAGACACTAGCATTGGTAAAGTGCAATTGCACCATTGACCTTCACTGTACATACAACCATCTTGTCTTAAAAACTTTCAAAGTGTGACTTGTCTTGTACATCATGACTTGATGACTTTGCTTCTTCAGAAAAGTTTGACTTTAACAACTAAAATAAATTTATCTACACATTAGGTACCAACCTTG